CCATTGTCTGCTAAAAAAACAAACAGATTCATCCTAGAGATGGTTAAACTGGGCTGCTCCTTGGAGGCAAAGATTCTGAGGCTTCGTCTGACATACTTTGGTCGTGTTGTAAGGAGAGACTGGTCCTTGGAGAAGGGACATCATGCTTGGGAGGGTGGAGGGCAGGCGCAGGAGAGGAAGGCCTTCTGGGAGGTGGATTGATTTGGTGACTAGGGCAATCAGGATGAGTGTGTAGGAAACAATGAGATTGGCATAGGACAGAGCAGAGTTTAGAGCTGTTGTACATAGGGCCGCTACGAGTCGCAAGCAAGCACATAACAACAACACAACAACAACAAAGATAGAAGTGTTACCTTCAGTGCAAATTTGTGTAGCTTTTCTTACTTTTTTATCATTAGATTTTTGTATTATGCATTTCAAAATTCCTAAAGTATATATTCCTAGTTTCCTAAAGCCAGACTTTTTTCTAATTAATGCAATTAAGTACATTGTCTAACTAAATCCTTATTGTATGTTACTTTTCTTTTACCCAGCTTATCTGTTAATTTTTGCTTCCCTCTACTTCCCTTCTCATCCCTGTTAGAGACAGATTTAAACTTTGATAATGCTTGACCTCTCCTTAGTGAACTTGTTAAAGTAGGACAGCTGTTCTTTCACTTGCAGCTTATATTTGCTCAATTTATTCTTTGATTTCTTAAATAATTTAGAAAATATTTATTAGGTACCTTTCTAATTGCTTGTAATATAGTTCTAAGCAAAATGGCTATGGCCCTACCTTCATTTGCATATATGCCTTCATTATTTCTTAAATGTTTTTTATGTCTATGTTCTTTTGTTTTGACAGAATGGTTGAAAGTTTGATAGTTTGGTTACTTACTTGTACTTTCTAGTTACATTATTTGAAATGTTGTGAAATGAAGTGAATTAAAATAAGAAAGACAGTTGAGGAAGTTTTAGGGGTGAGAGAACTGTTATTTCAGAGTTGTGAAAATCTTATTCATAGTTCTCCTAGTCCGTAAGGTGTTTTAAGACCATGCTTGGCCAAAAGGACCTATTAAGTAACTCACTGCATCTCCATAGTCAAGAAGGCATCCATAAATAATCAAGTTGAAGAAATTGGTAGTGAGTATATTAAAATAATTGGCTTTTACCCTAAACTTGAATATGTTTAAATTCTAAAACCCTTTCAGTAATTTGATTTCATTTTTGAAACTTCCAGAGACATTATAGAGTTTTTTTGTTAAATAATTATATCCTTTAATAAGAGCTTTTATCCTTTTATTTCCTTTTCAGCCTATTCATATTTTGAGAAGGAACTTATATCTTATAATCAGTTCTCGGTCTTCATTGTTGGCTCTGGTGGGTTTGGTGGAAAACGAACATCAGACAAAGCCAAGGTAGGCCATATCTTTGTTTAAAAGCAAAATGTCCATGTAGTTAAGTATCCTTGAATCTGTGTTTCAGGATTACCATAATAACATATGTATTTCATAGAGTAATATATTCTTCTTGTATTGGAAGTGGTGTGTATGTTTAAATGTGCATATAGAGGCATGGATAAGTACACCTAAGAATGTTACGTATTTATATAAAAGCATGTAACACATGCATGTCTTATATAGGTAACAAGCCTTGAATTAACTATAATGCAACTGGGATAATTATGATAGTATTTCTTACTTTATTGTGCAATCTTTGTAGCATCCACAAGTCTTTAGAAAAACTTATCACACAGAAGATCTTTTTATAGATAAAAAACTTTAAGTGACCTAAGTATTTATCATGTTTAAGTCAGTTGTAGTTAATCTAGTTAATCTATAGTTCTCAAGTAATAAAAGCATTTTTCTTAGAAGTATTCTATAATATAGATTTTTGTGTTATTTTAATCTTTATATCTAAGTTATTTGACATAATAAAATTATAGTTTTTGACTATTTTTCTGTAGTGAATACAATTCAAGGCAATACTTGAAAGATGGCTTCTGTGTGGGTAACATGAGGAGTTCTTTTGTTCTTCTTTCCAGTAAAATAACTGGTAAAGAATATTGAGATAAAGAAATTACTCAGTAAAAGAACATAAAATCAGCCAGCCAACTAACCTAAAACCTAAGGACGACTATATGAAATCACTGTAAATTGTCCTAAGGACACGTTGTTGTCATTGTTAGCCAGTCACAGCACATCTGAACCTTGCCCTGTGTTGCGCCGTCCTCACCATCTCTGTATGCTTAAGCCTGTTGTTAAGGTCACTGTCAGTCCATCTTGTTGGGAGTTTTCCTCTCTTTATGTGACCCTCCACCTTTCCAAGCATGCTGTCTTTTCCCAAAGATTGGTGTGTCCTCACAACCTGTCCGAAATATGTGAGATGAAATTTTACCATCCTTGCCTCTAGAACCCAGTGGCACTTCATTCAACATAGACTTGTTTGTTCTTTTGGTAGTTCGTAGGCAATTCAGTACTCTTCCACAACATCACAGCCCAGAGACATTGATTCTTCTGTCATTCTTGCTCACTGTCCAATTTTCAGATGCAGAGCAAAGTAACTGAAAAGATCAGGATTTGGATCATGTGCACCTTAGTTTTTTAAACTGACATCATTACTCTTCAGCCCTCAGGAGTGGTACCTGACAGCAGATTTCCCCAATACAGCACATCTATTGCTTTTTTTCATTATGGAGCCAAATAAATGGAAATAGAAAATGCAAAACAAAGCAGAAAATCTGCTATATCCTGAAAAGCCAAAGCTCCACCCAAATTCAGGTGGCCAAGAACATAGAATTAATTTCTTTTCTTTCAGCTCTCAGACTGTGGTTATTTTATCATTCTGTGAGGGACCAACAACTACTAGCTTTTTTTATTATCTACTCTGCCAGTCTCCATGCTGTAAAATCTCTATTTCAGGTAAAAGTGACTGATAGGTGTGAAGCTAACTAACTTCCTTCATCTAGGTCCCGCTTTTAGAGTGAAAACTTTTGTAAGCATAGTGGACTGAGCTTACTAGACTCCCAGTCATCCTTGCTCTAGGTCACTTATGGAGTAGAAATTTCAGGCTGCTAGTGGCAAGCAGGAGTGACATCCACATCCTAAACAACATTCCTCTGTAAACTCCATGAACTTTGAGAAACGATGATAGTTAAAGAAAGGCTTCAGGTCTGTTGTTCATAGGGTCACTGCAAATTGTGCTCGACTTGATGGCAATCAACAAACAACAATAAACAAGTGGCAAACTAAAACCAGGAGCTACCACGCCTGCTCAGCGTCCTTCCCATAATGGAGAATTTCACTACTAGAGAAGTTGGCCATTATCTTTACCTTTGTTTCTGCAGCATTAGTGTGGAGATTTTATCCTGGAGGGAGCCTGAACTCAGAAGCTTTCTCAAGGAAACTCAATTTTTTTGGAGCATAATATGGGTACATTTAAACATAAGAGTACTCTTGAGCGCAATGGTGATTTTAGTGGCAAACATTTAAGAGGCTGTTAGCTTTCTGATGGTCTAGTCTGTAGACTTTGCTAACCCAAAGGCTACCACACCTCTGGTGTTTGAGTCCAGCAGCTACCGCACTGGAGAAAGATCTCCTTCTGTGTGCTCTTTACATCTTCAGAAACCAGTGGTGAGTCAGCTTTGAGTTGGTTCTCACTCAACGACAGTGAGTTTTTTTGAGTGTAGCTCCATGAGAGCTTCAAGTGAAATTATTGCAAGAGAGCAAACCACAGAAAAAGACAGCTAAGAAGAAGCCTCAAACATCAAAGATGGGACTCAGAAGTTATTCCTGCAAAGAGGTCTGAATTTAATTGGAATAAACTGTGGGAACAACTTATTTTCTTATTGTCTTTGTGTACTGTTGAGTCTGAACCAACCCATACCTAACACTTCAGCAGGTTTTCAAAGGCAATTTAATCGCAAGGAAGGAGATTTCCCATCTTTCTCTTGTGGAGCAGGTGGTGAATTTGAACTATGTGCCTTCATGTTGCAGTTCAGCTGTTTACTACTAGGCCATCTGAGCTCCCCTAACAGCTCGATATGATACCAAAAGAGACAGTGTAACACAAGGGAAAACTGCTAAACACACTATTTTCTGGGACAACTGTGCATATGCAAGGCTATAACAACACTAGAAATAAACTCACTGTGACTTAAATAGAGAACTCAGTAAATTGATATACAACAGTAAGACCACTCCTGCTTCTAAGAAAATGGAGATAGTATCTAGAATTGCCAAAATCTATTATCTAGCCATGGTCTTTTCAGTTACTCTCTATGCATTTTAGACAGTGACTAAAGGATGACAAAAGAATTGATGCCTTTGAGCTGTGTTGTTGTAACCCCATGGATGGCCAAAAGAACAAACAAATTTGTTTTGAAGGAAGTGTAATCAGGGTGGTCCTTGGAGGTAAAAATTTCATTTTACATACTTTAGAGATGTTGTCAGGAGGGACTGTTCCTTGGAAAAAAAGACTGAGAAAGGGAGAGGGTCAAAGAAAGAGAGGAAGACCCTCAGTGAGATAGACTGACCCAATGATTATATTGGTGGGTTTAACATAACAGAGGGAAGATGGTGGAGGATAAGGCAGGGCTCAAATGTGTTGTTTATAGGGTTGCTTTGAATCATGGTTGACTTGATAATATCTAACCACAACAACAATGATGACAGCATGGAAACATTAAGTTTTCAGTTATTTGATAATTAGTATTTATATACGACTATATGTCCAGATATAGATAGAAATCATTAATCATTAAAGACTCTTACATGGGCTGTAAACTACACAGCATGTATGTTTTTGTTATTTTTGACTGCTATCGAGTTGAGCATAACCCTGTGAACAAAAGACCCAAAGCCTTTTGATAACTATCATTTCTCAAAGTTCATAGAGTTTCCAGAGGCATGTTGTTTAGGAAGTGGATGCCACTTCTGCTTATAGCAGCCTGATTTGAATGGCTCAAGTATACTGTATTGATTCTTAAGTTTTTCAACCTTGAGTGAACATTTTTTTATTATAAAGGGAAAAACCACAAATCTATTTGATGTAATAGACAACTTACTGTTTGATTTGTTTTTTCTTTTTAAAATCCATTTTAAGTTTTGGACAACAGTGAAATGTACTTATCAAAGAATCTAAAACCTGTGCTCTAGGTAGTTTTTTGGATATTTTAAAAAAGGAATTTCTCACAAGTATCATTTTCTTTTGTTTTTGAAGAAAAAAAGTAATAAAACTTAAGTCACGGAGAAATATCTGTCATAAACTATTCTGTTATCTGGAAAGCAATTTTGATGATACTGTGTCTTGAATATGTGAATGGCCACAATGTTTAGTTGAATTTGTGAAATAGAAGTCATAGAACATTACAAAAGAGTACTCAGGACCTCTTACCTATAGGCTAAGGAATGAAGTCAGGTTTCCAAATAATCACACCTTCAGAACCTACTGGAATGGACAGAAAAGAAATAAAAAGAACAGAAAACACATTAAATGTGACTAAAACACAATGGAAGGGTCTAGTTCATGAAATAATACTTGAAAAATAGCGACTGAAAGAGACTTGTGTACTTTTGCTTGTTCTTACAAGCAGCAACACTCTCCATCCAATTTTTTTTATGATCATATTTATTTTTTTGTATTTTTAAGTATACGTTTCAAAGTATGTCTAAATTTAGGATTTTAATCATGAAAAATTGCAGTCTCGTTCCTTAATTCTTTGAAGGAGTAAGAGCTGGTTAATTGTATAACATTTATTTAACAGAGAAATAATGGAAAATAATGTAATTTTTCTCCCATTATGTATTAAGTTATTATACTCAACTGAGTTTGAAGTATATGTTTTTGTTGAGATGGCAAATTAAAAGAACAACAAATGGATCTTAAGAGCCCAGTTTTAAAGATTAAATCAATTTAGTTATAAATTGTGCTCCTAATTCTTATAGCTAACATCTTTCATAGGGAAAATTTCATATTTTTTTCCTCCTTTGTGACCTAAAGAATGGATCTAGTCATGTAATTTTGTACATTAACAAGATTATTTCAGAGAAGTAGTGATTTTCAGTGTCATTATCTCCTGCACATAAAGTATCTTCCAAAATTACCTGTTAATCATTTGATAGTATTATTGTATTGACAAATCATTTCTTATCAAATACAAGTTTGGCTAATGAAACAAAAACATTGTCAGTATTTAAGATTTGGTATATAATCTCTTGATTCCAGGTAGCTTTAGCTGTACCTAATAGACCTCCTGATGCTGTTCTTACAGATAGCACCTCACTTAATCAGGTAAGATTTTGATTTTGAATCATAATATATCCACCTGACTGATAATACTTTTAAAACTTTGATACACTGTGATTTTGGGAGTCAAAAAGTAATGTTCTTTAAGATAATAAAAATAAAGACATATTTCTTGTAGTTTGTCTTTATTTTTTTCTATGTATCTGCTACCTGTATTTTTTCCATTAGATATCACAAGAAAAGATAAAATGGATTTTCATGAGTTCAAAAAGCATCATGTTTTGCTGGCAATGGAGTGTTTGCATTATAAAGATATTATATATTTTAAGAGTCAAGAATTCACAAACTCCATAGAGAACTAGAGGTTAAAAAAGTAAGAGTTATAAGACAGATGTTAGTCCTGCTTTCCTTCATTAGGCAAGAAATCTGTGCAACATTACTTGGAAGTAGATTATTTTATGCTAATTTCACAGGACAGGCAAAATGAAGCATCTTAACAGCAGGTGATTTGATAATTTTTTTTCTCTGCCTAAATAATTTGTTTTCTGGTAGAAGAGATAAAGTATCCTGTCATTTCACAGATTCTGTGAGCATGCTGATTTATTTAAGAGACAAAAAGGCAACCATAAAAATGAGAAAAGTCAGCCTTTTTTTTTTCAGACTTCTAAAGATCCCTCCCTCTCCAAAGTGGCAGAAGATTAACCAAACAGATAGACCCTAGAATCCTTTAGCCTCCAGAATTGTGCTATGAATGATCATGAATGATAGTAAATTATTCACAAAGTTAATTTTGACATGTTTGATTCTCACTTCTGCAGGATTTATGTTTCCTACTGAATAGAAATATAATTTCATAAATAGAACTAAAGATGATACATAAAATTTGTATTTTTTTTCTAAATTATATAATTGGATGATGGAAAGAGCACTACTTTATTTCTTGGATTAGATTTAGCTTAAAATGTTTTCTCTATCCCTTACTGTTTCTGCTCAATTTTTAAAGTACACCACCAATATATATGTTTATATAAAGCCTTATGGAGAAATTAACTTATGAAGGTATTTAAGAATAGAAAAAGCTTCCTGGTTCTATTCTGAAAACACAGAAAGTATTTATTATTCTTGAGTTACAAAACCACACCAAATTCATTGCTGTTGAATGAATTCCAATCCATCGCAATTCTATAGGCTAGAGTAGAACTGCCCAAGGGGGCAGTTCTAAAACTGAAGATTTTAAATTAAATTAAAATTGAGATTTTAGTGAAAGATTATAGAGAACTTAGATTTCCATTCATTGATTGTTGTACATTTTCCTCCCTGCCCACCCCTCCCCCCCATTTTCTTTTCTCTTTGAAAAGAAAAAAAAAATCTTTCATTGTTACACAATGCCTGCCCCTCCCCAGTCCACTTTACTATGCAGCTCTTATTCTGGACTCTTGTCATGCAAATAATACCTGATCATATATCCTTTTAAAACAGTTCTCTCCCTCATCTGTTTCAATGCAGTGTACATTATTTATCCCCTCTTTTCTTAGTTTCCCCCAAATCTGATGTCAGTCTTTTTTTTAAAACAGTGGCATTATGTACTATTTGTCCTTTTGTGACTGAGATATTTCACTCAACATATTGTCCTCCCAGGTCACCCATTTTGTATAATATTTCATGAGTTCTTTGTTTTTCAGTATTGTGTAATAATCCATTGTATGATGGGCATTTGGGTTGTTTCTGATTCTTTGCTATTGTGAACAAAGCTGCAATAAACATGGGTGTGCATATATCTGCTTGGGTGGCAGTTATGGTTTCTTTAGGGTATATTCCAAGTAGTGGAATTGCTGGGTCTAATGGTATTGTATTTGTATTTCCAACTTTTTGAGAAAGCGCCATACAGCCTTCCAGAGTGGTTACACTATTTTATACTCCCACCAACAGTGAATAAGTGTTCCAGTTTCTCCACAACCTCCCCAGGACTTGTTTGCTGCTCTGTTGAATTTTTCTGTTCTTACTGGGGTAAGATGATATCTCATAGTTGTTTTGATTTACATCTCTCTGAGAGCTAGGGATTTTGAACACTTCTTCATGTGTTTCTTGGCCATTTGAATGTCTTCTTTGGTGAAGTGTCTGTTCATATCCTGTGCCCATTTTGCAACTGGTTTGTTTATCTTGTT